TTTCAATTCAGTGTTAAAAAGGACACGTTAGAACTCAGTCTCATTGAAATACAGTAAAAACTTCAATTGCTAGGTATAGAAAGATTTCAAGGAAATACACCAAAATGTTAATGTGGTCATCTCTAGGTGGTGGGCTAACAGTTGATTTTTATTTTCTATCCAACACATTTTTGTATGTTCCCAATTTTTCGAAATGAGCCTAAGCTACTTTCACAATCAGAATAAAACCAGTGTCACCCTGGCTAGTGTGGCTCAGTTCGTTGGAACATCATCCCATACAAAAAGGCTGTGGGTTCAATTCTCTGTCAGGGCACATATCCAGGTTGCAGGTTCAATCCCTGGTCAGGCCTTGTATGGGAGGCAACGGATGGATGTTTCTCTCTGATGTCAGTGTTTCCCTTTCTTCTCTCTCTCCCTCTCTCTAAATATCAATAAAATAAAATTAAAAAACACTGTCTTTAAAAGGGGAAATAATAAACATATCACCTTATTTAATGAGGAAATGCTATTTTTTAATTTGAAAGTGAACCCATGTGCTTCACAAAGTTGTGGTAATATACATCATTTCTACACCTAAATATTAAAAACCTTGAGCCGTTTGTTCTCTAAAAGACTTATGACACAATAAAGCAGCTTTAAAAACATTTTGATTAGTTTAAGAATTGTAGGGTTTTTTCAAGGTTGACTACTTGTTAATGCAGACCATCTCTCTTTTAAATTAAATGAAAAACATGCAAAAGACCTTAAAAATATGGCTTTGATGCTACAATTTAAAAAAACAAAGTGTTTTGTAAGCTTGCACTTTAAAATAGAAAGTACCTACTACTTTTTGCTATCAAATTCTTCTTGGAAGAAGGGGAAATAAATTATAAATAAATTAAGTTATAAATAAAAAACAAACTAATATACGGAAGCAATTGAACACTGAAAAGAAAAAAAAAATACTAGGCTTCTTTTTGTGTTTTTACACTGGGCAGTCTCTATGCATTTGAACAAGCGAAAGCTAAATATTTAGGGTATATATGCATTCCTCTAACACGTTTAACTTCAATTGAGAACAATTAAGAACAACTGAAGAAAAGCAAATTTTAAAGTGCGAAGATTTACCCACCTTTGATGCCAACCGTGACTTCAGGCCCAAGAATGAAAAGACTGTGTTGCTTTCCTTTGATTCAAAGAAACTGTCATAATCCTAGAAAAAAAAAAGGGGGGGGGAAGAGGAGAAAATAAACAAAAGCAAACAATTATCTTTGTATTTGGTGTTACGGGCAAATTTTGTTTAGAGAGACTGCTTTCTTCCTTTTTTTTTTTTAAATGTTTTCATTTATTTTAGAGAGAAAGGAAGAGATAGAAAAACATCAATTAGCTGGGGACTGGGGATTGAGCCCACAACCTGGACATGTGCCCTGACTGGGATTGAACTGGTGACCTTTCAGTGCACAGGAAAATGCTCAATTGACCAACTAAGCCACACTGGCCAGGGCTTGACAAATTCTTTGTAATTAAAAATAATTTTTTTCCTTTATTGATTTTTAGAGAAAGAGGAATGGAAAGGGATAGAGGGATAGAAACACAGATGAGAGAAAAACATCATTGATCAGCTGTCTCCTGCACTCCCTCTGCTGGGGATCAAGTCTACAACCCAGGCATGTGCCCTGATTGGGAATCGGGAATCTAACCAGTGACCTCTTGACTCCTGGATCGATGCTCAACTGCTGAGCCACAGCAGCCCAGCCAGCCACACAAATTCTTCATGAAAATAAAAAATGTACCATTGCTCCATCCAGGTCAGGGAAGAGCTATATAAATCTACTAATTTGTCCTGCTTAAGCCTAAAAATTTCTTTGAGTATGATGATAAATGTAACAAGTTTTTAATCCAAAGCCTGTGACAGGATTAAAACATAAAACAATGACAACAGAAATGAAATCAAACACACTCTCTTTCCTTTGTGGGCCAAACTAACATTTATTTGTGTGAAACCACTGTGACCTCAGATTTTATTCTAGCACTTCAATATGGAAGGCTGCCTCCCAATTCTACTCTTGATAGGCTGTTATCTAGGGCTTTTAAAAAATATATCACCGGGTGAACAGAAACCTGTACTAGTAAAGGTCTCCATGTGTCAATGTGAGTGCTTCTATTCTGCCTTTGAAGTCCACATTCTTAAAGAATGTGTCTTCAGAGAGAGTAAAAAGATCAAATAAAAGCTAGAGAAAACTATATTCTCTATGACATTTACCTTTGCCTCAGAAGCAGAATCATTGTTCTCTTCCTACTTTCACAAAAGAAACCATTAAGGAATTCTGGTCAATAAGCTCTTCAATTGATTCTTTTCAAAAGTTTGCATATGTAATACTACACGGTTTCTAAGTTGATATAAAGCAGTTTTAGAATTTGGTAGAAGTCCCTTTTGATAGCGATCCTGAGAGTGAATTCTGTAAGCAGACAAGGACCAGAATCATTTTCAGGCATTCCCTTTGCGGGAGGCGCCTTCTGATCAATCCATCATCGGCCCACCAGGTTGGAGACTGGCTCAGAGAAAGAAAAAAAAATGTTGCCCAAGTTTGACAGCTAATACAGGAGAGAGCTGAGATTTGGGCCCAATTCCACTGATGTTGTAACTGATGTTTTTTGTACTCTAGGAAGCTTCTTACCAAGTGTGGGGCACTCTGTAAATGAGTCACTGAACCCTAATGATCCACTGCTATGCTGAACAAGTGGCATCACAGATACTGTTGAAACCTATCTAGGAATCTAAACGAGAGTCAATGACTTGTGGAGATCTGCTTCTTGCAAAGCCTGCCTCAGTTGATGGAAAATCTGAATTTGACTCCATGTAGAGACTTTCTTGTACAAATGTTTCAGCAGGGTGAGGGCGGAGTTGAGTTTCAAAATGTGAAGTTTGAGAAATTATATGAGATACCCAAGTGAAGATTATTAGTGGAGCAGTAACTCTACAGAATTACAGATTTTGTAGAATTTTATGAAAAATTTTACAATTTTTCTAAGAAAACTATGTCACAAATAATGCAAGTCTACATTTGATGTGGAATTTAAGCAACATACCATTAACTGAAAATGTTACAAATATTCTTTATAACAAAGATATTTCCAAACAGTTGAGTGACACTTCACTGGGTTCAGGAAATAATCCTGTTCGATATATATAGGGTGTCCCCCCAAAATATATACACACTTCTACAGAAATGAGTAACTTTTTTGTCAACGCCTGTTTTCAAACTCATGACCTTCTGGTCCAGGCACTGCTGATAATTCGAAGCAATGGAATCACAAACATCAAGAATCATTTCATTCAGTGTTTGTGTGCCCTCAATCTGTCAACTTTTGCTGGTTTTGTGCCATAAGCTTTATCTATTATGTATCCCCATAAGAAAGTCTAGTGGATAAATTTTCTTTGTTCAAAGCTTAGCCTAGCTTCATCCATTATTTCAAATTAGTTAAACCTGAAAAGGAGTGAAAATTAAGTGAGTTATTAGCTGTTGAAGAGAGTATACTCTTTTGGGGAGACACCCTTTGAATAATTATAAAGGCAGTGTTCGTATTTGAACTGCGTTTTCAAACTTCCAGTAGGATGAATTTCCTTTGTTCAAAGCCTAGTCTGGCTAAAAAGAAAGAACATCAATTGAGCTATCAGTTGTTAAAGTATGTATACATGTTTTGGGGACACCCTGTATATTCTCTAGATGATCATTTATTGCATATTTAATGTGGTAACAAGAGGGAGATGGCTACACTACAGCCAGATTTATCTCATCCTTTTAGATATCCACCATACAAAAACTGGTGTACTAGTATTTGTTCCTACCCCTACCATATTCGGCCACTATTCAGTCTAAATTCTTTACCTAGAGAATATCATTTAGAGCCATGGCCCTAATTAAAGTCACATCTTTAGCTCTGATTTCTCCTCTCAACTCTGGTTCTATATAATAACTAATTCTTCACAGACTCTTAAACATAAGGGATTTACATCACAATTCATGATCTTCCTGCCACACCACAAGATGGGCCTCTAAGAAAATGGCACCACCATCTAATGGGCTCTACCACATAAGAAATCAAGTTACCACAGGACTCCTCCCTTTCCTCAGCTAACAACTATCTTACATGTTCCTTTAACCTCTCCATTTCCACATCCATTTCATCGCCCTAACTGAAGCTAGATTTCTGCAGTAGCACCTCAATTTATCAACCCTTCTCCAATATAACCTATTTCTAACCCATCATTCTCAGGTGAAGATAGACTGCTCTTTTAAAAATGAGATGATGATCATATTGCCCTCTTCTTAAATTCTTTCCCTCAAAGCTTCTCATTGTCCTTACAATACAGATTAAAATTCTTAACATGGCTTAAAAGGCTGTATGTGGCCCTGATTTAGTCAAGACTGAGGAGAAGAGAGGTCTTGTATTTCCATGTACCAACAACTATCTTGTTCACAGATTCTGTATGGTATATATGCTCAGGGAACTATACATGTGGTGTCCTGCAGTCTCCCGAGTTATGTGATCTTGATCAACTCATTTAACCTCCTCACACTATTACTTCCTTTCTGCATCAGATACTAGCGAAGTCCCTTAAAGCCTCATGATTCTATGAAATGATGGAGCATTCAGCGGAGTAGCTCTTAAATGGGCTGTTAGTTGTGTCTAGGGGTAAAGTCACCCAAATATTCTGGTTACTAAAGATACCTATTTGAAAATTTTGCCTCTCTCTGATTTAACTGAACAGGAAAAGGAAGAGACAATAGTGGGAGAGAAAACATTAGGACTAGTGACTCAGTCGTCAAAATGCTATCCCTGTTTTGAATTTTGAAAGGCCTTTTTACCCTTCTGCTTGATTAATAATCTCTGATGGTCAGTGTGAAATGCAGGAATGAAAAAACAAATAATGTAAGAAATAAAAAATGAGAAACAATGCCTGACTCAATCTCTATAAATGTAGTGTGAATTTTACTTTAAAAGACTGAAATGCTAACATGAAAATATCTTGCGTGCAACAGATCAAAAGGCAAGTTACCATGACAATGTGTATAATTCAGGTTTCATTGTTTATGTTAAAAATCTTAATTTAAAAATAGTTACAGTTCTTCAAATCATAAAACTGGAAATAAGGTCAACTTTCACAAAACATTCTTCATACATAAAACAGGACATGTAAAATCTATACATGTAAAGAAAATATATAACTTTATAAAGAATCCATTTAACATTCAATCAAAACTATTCTCGTCCTGCCTGGCCGGTTTGGCTCAGTGGATAGAGCATCGGCCTGCAGACTCAAGGGTCCCAGGCTCGATTCTGGTCAAGGGCATGTACCTTGGTTGCGGGCACATCCCTAGTGGGGAGTGTGCAGGAGGCAGCCGATCGATGTTTTTAACTCTCTATCCCTCTCCCTTCCTCTCTGTAAAAAATTAATAAAATATATTAAAAAAACTATTCTCTACAAAACTATAAATTTTAGTTACCAAAAAAAGTATTTAGAAATTTCAGTTTAGAAATCTCAGAAGGGCAACATTTCTCATTTAGATTTTTAAATAATCCTCTTTAACTGTATCTCTGTCATTAATATTATAAGCATTATTTTTAAGAACTTTTAACGCACTACTACATAACTATAGCTAGGGGGCGGGCTTCTTACCTGAAGACTGAATTGGATCCTCCCAAGAGTTTAGAAATTGTCACTTAAGGTAATTAACTCCTTCCAAGTGACAAATGTAAAATTTGGTAATTAACTTTAAAAGCAGAATAATTTAATGAAATAATCTTTAAAAGTCAATGTTAGAAAAGTACCTAACACACTAGGTTACCAATAATACTTGTCAAGTGATGAATTAGCTATCTGCTAATTAATGGCTGATGTGCCATGTTTTAGATAATCTCATGCTAGTAACATAATTTGAATAAATACTATTTCTACTCTATTAATTACAGGTTTTAAAGAATTATGTACACAATTTACTTTCTGACATTCAAAAGCTTTTGAGTGGTCTGATGAATCTCAAAGTGTAAAAAGTTAAATTACTTTCCTTGTCATGTATAGGCAAAGAGTATGTGATTGATAATTTAAAATCTAGGATTTTTGAATCGTTAATACCTCCTTCCAGATATAATAAACAGCATGATGTGAAATAACTTCAGAGTTAAATAGCATTAGAAAATTTAAAATCA